GGACACTAAATCAAAACCATACAAACGCGTCATTAACATCGAGACCAATCAACATCAAAAGCGGGATCTTCCAAGGAGATTCACTGTCACCACTACTCTTCTGGCCTGCATGAATGTCCCTCAGCTGCCTATTGAACAACAGTAGCTACAAATACAAGTCACAGAATGGCGAACTGGATCACCTATTCTATACTGATGATTTTAAAACGTTTGCCAAGGATAACAACCAGCAGAAAAATAACCTACTCACCATTGTCAAAACCTTCAGTGAAGACATTAGAATGCAGTTCGGAATCGGAAAATGTGCCAAAGCCACCTTCAAAGGCGGCAAACTAACGAAAACTACAGATTTGGACCTTGATATCAACAACAATATTAAGGAACTTGTCTAAGGTGCTTAGGAATTAATGAAGGAGACGAAATACAAAATTCAATTCCGAAGAAAAGATTCGAAAACAATATTATAGAGTGAGTTTGATACTAAAAAGCGAACTAAATGGGGGGGGGGTCTGAATAAAACGAAGGCTACAAACACCTTAGCTAAATCGGTAGTAACATACAGCGTCAAAATTATTAAATAGAAGTTGAATGAGGATGCACCACCCGAAATCAGATGTTGATAGGCCCTTACATACTAAGATTTTTTAGAAGGCCGAGGCTTAATTCAACTTGAACTAACTCTAAAAACTACAACCATCGGATTGGAAGCATACCTTACAAATACCAATGATTCTCTACCACAAATAGTAAAACACCAAATCCATCCCATCAACAAGGAAGTCACATGCTTCAAGAAACAGCTTAATATACCCGAAATTCTACCAACAAAAACGTAGCGAATACCATCTACGGCAAACGAGTAAAACAGAAAGCAAACAACTTGGTCAAATTAAATTACAAAAATGTGAGAGAACACGCTGTTGCACAGCACATACCTAAAAAGAACGAAAGAAGCAGATATGGATCAATAGAAAAGACATCAGTGGCTGAGGAGCACCGGTTTGAAAGCTGAAACAGAAGGCCTAATTATTGCAGCTCAGGAGCAAAGCCTCGCAACCAGATCCTATCACTGTCACATAATTAAGGATAGAAATAATCCGAAATGTAGGATCTGAGGAAAATATGATGAAACTGTCGACCATATTATCTCAGGATGTCCGGAACTGGCAAAAAATGAATATATCCACATACATAACAAGGTAGCGACATATGTGCACTGGAAAATATGCAAGAAGCACAAAATCGAACTACTGAGAAATGGTATGAGCACCAACCAGACACATTTACCCAAAATAACGATGTAACTATCCTCTGGGACATGCCAATTCAAACTGACAAGGAAATAAGAGCCAACAGACCTAATATTATCATAAAAAACAAGAAATTCAAGAAGTGTATGCTTATTGACATAGCAGTACCATCTGAGAGAAACTCCTCAATGAAAATTATCGAGAAATTGTCCAAATACAAGGACTTCAAGATCCAGATTAACAGGATGTGAGGAATGAAGACTGAGACTGTACTAATAGTAATCGGAGCACTGGGCCTCATGAGAAAAGAAATGGACAATTTTACTAAAAGTGTCTCAGGTAACCTCAACATGCAAGTTGCTCAGAAGATCGCCCTACTAGGAACACCCCATATACTAAGAAAAGTCCTATTAATTAAAGACAATTCTCCTATAGGATCTAAGGGCCACAGTTTGGAACTATCTCTACGGGATAGAAACCAGAAAACACGACATACACAAATGATAATAATATCAGCAGACTTCGATAGCAACCAATATAAGAGAAGAAAAATTCTGGATTTTCTGAATGGAGAAGACATTGGAAGACACACGACTATCTTTCCCAAGAAATGCAATTCACAAATAATAAAAAGGAAACTTTTTGCTCTGAATGGACACGTGGAGAAAGCACTGGTAAATCATTCTATTATTTTTCTCAAGAAAGCATGGCAATTCACAGATAATAAAGAAACGGAAACTGTGAAGAGTCATAATCGCCTACGCCCTGAGGGGACATAACGTTAAAAAAAACCGTAGCAGGTGAATAGGAATTTATTTGTCTCGTTATAACAACGACACTCAACGCACGTCGTAATCGTAATTATTTTGACAATGAAAAATATGAGAAGTCACAATCACTATTTTCATGAATATCAATTCAACATTATTATTATTGCATTTGCAATAATAAATTCTTTTTGATTAGACTGTCTTGTTTTAATATTCATAATACTATAAAGAAAAAGAAGCAATCAAGAAACAGATTCGTGTGTATTTATATATATATGATTTTTTTATATGCTAAAAAGACAGAAATTAAGAACTGGATAAAGTCCAGGAATATATCTACACAAGAAAGATCATGAAAATAAAATAAAACAAAGTGCAAATTAAACAAAAAGCACCTCATGGCAATATGCTTAAAATTTAGTGTATAATGAAATGTATCAGCATTTATGGTGAACTGGTGCAATACACCACAAAAAGTAAGACAATCGCAAACCGAATGAAAAAGGCACAAAGATCAATAGAATGAACAATGTTAAGAAGAAACAATGTTAAGGCAACAGACGAACATACGAAACAACATGGGAGAAATTGAAACCACAATAATGGCGGTTGGCGGGTTACAAAGTCGAAATAAAGGATAAAAGTTGGAGAAAATGTTTTGTTGATTGAAACCAAATAGAAATCTAAACAGAAAAATCAAATAGAAGATGGAAGAATGAGATGGTTGGATCAGAGGATACGACGAGGAGGAAAAAGCCTAAATACGATAGTCATGAAAGTATTTGTGGAAGATCTTTGTCAAGCAACAGAATTGTATTGCCTTACTGCAGCTTATATATATATGTTCATGTTTCCTAAAATATGGCTGACATTTGAGGACTGTCATTTCGCAAAAGAGAAAACTTGTAAGTACAAAAATTCAAATAAAAATCTAACAAAATACATATATGCTCCTTATTATGTTTTATAAAGTACGAATATCCTTTCACAATGTGGCTGTTGTGTCTGGATAAATTTGTCCCAAACTCCTGTTTTGTTTTCTCAAGCATTCTTATTAAACTATATATATATATATATATATATATATATATATATATATATATATATATATATATATATTATTATTATTATTATTATTATTATTGCTACAAACCGCATTTCTGGATCTACTAACTGTATTACCAATTGTATCATTGTGTCAATACATTTATTTGCTATATTTCATTCCTGCGTTTGTCATTCATTTGAGACCGGATCTCATCCCAGAATCCACGACATATATATATATATATATATATATATATATATATATATATATATATATATATATATATATATATATATATATATAACCATTCTACGACCGAATGTTACGTTGCTGTGCAATTGGAGCAGTTTAAGTTTAAATTCAGCCCACCCGAAAATCAATATTAGTAACAACATTTTGGTGCAACTGAGGCACATTCCCAAATAAAAATAAAGTAATCTTAGGAAATGTATGAGGCGAATGAAACTGAAAGAACATGAACAAACAAAACTTGGTAAATGGACACATAGAGTTGCAGAATGTGTGGGTTTAATTGGATGCAGGCAGAATGGAGGCTAAACGTTGAGGTGACGGGGCACATCACTGATGTCTTGCACCAGTAAAATTTATTTTAGGCTCCCTACAATTCAGCGGTTGTTTCACAGGAAAAATGACGAAAATAGGATGTCCCTGACAAAAGTTATTTTGCTTGAGGCATCTTTAACCCTCCTCCAAAAAAAAGTTATTTTGCATGCCTTTTGCCTCGTAGAGACGGACATTGATCATCCCTGCAAATGCTACATGACCGTCTCTTCATTGCCCATCTTTTGCGTCAGATTTCAACTCTAAATTGATTGTACGCTGATTTTTACAGACATTACATTTTGCCTTTAGTTCTTGCGCAAAGTATAAAAAATCAGTTTTTTTTTGGTTTTTTTTTTCACTTTCAAGGTTGTAATTTTTTTTCCAACCAATTTGGACTCAAAACCGGCACTAAAGAATTATCTAGCAAACAAAAAATTTCATCGAAATCAGGTGAAAACTGGAAACGCATAAACAACATCCGATCACACACACGTACATACACACTTTGAGAATTATATATATATATATATATATATATATATATAGAGAGAGAGAGAGAGAGAGAGAGAGAGAGAGAGAGTGGGGAGATAAAGATAGAGAGAGAGAAAGCCTGGTAGACAGACAGAGAGAATTACGGAGCGGAGAAATTAACAAATGATGAAATCAGTGATTGAATACATTTTTAAATATTTCTCCTATTGATTTCTGAACACATTTTATTATAAGTGTAGATGTGTATAGAATATTTCTATTTTACGGTATTCTTTTTTTCCCGTGGAAACTCGAATAGACTAGGACTTCCATAAAACAAAAAGAAAGCTTTTTTTTAATAAGATAGCCTCGAAAACCTTGCAAATTGGTCAAAGTAAGCTTTCTTCGTCTGCCAAAATACGTACGAATCATTAATACAAAATCAGTTTTTCGAAGACATTGGCCAGAGGCAGCTAAAACAAAATATTTCAAGTTTCATTAACAACAAGCATTAATAAAAAATGCAGAGAGAGAAAGAAATTCTGCAGTGAAATAAATAAAAAATAAGAAAAACCAAAGAGAAATATTTGGAAAAAATAAAAACCAACCCGAAGGAAGAATTTTTTTCAATTTCGAATTAAAATGAATACAACTATATTTATGTTTTGCTCATAGCTTCGATCTGGACTTACCATTTTTTAATGATTGAAGGTGATTAGAAAATGTCAGGAAAGAGACAAGGAGGCGGTGGTTTGTGTTTGTGTGTTTGGTGTGGGGTGGGGGTACGGAGGTAAGCATCATAAACACACACATACACAGGCCCGTACAAAAATTCCAATTTTATTTACATATATTTTGTATTTACAACTTTAAAAATGATATTATCGTTTTATTTAGTTTTTCCTTTCACATTCTTTTTCTTTTTCTTTTCTTTTTTCTTTCTCTTTTTCTTTATCGTTCTTTTTCTTCCTCTTTCTTTTTCTTTTCCTTTCTCTTTCTTTTTCTTTTCCTTTTTCTTTCTCTTTCTTTTTCTTTTTCTTTCTCTTTTTCGTTCTTTTTCTTCCTCTTTCTTTTTCTTTCTCTTTCTTTTTCTTTTCCTTTTTCTTTCTCTTTCTTTTTCTTTCTCTTTTTCGTTCTTTTTCTTCCTCTTTCTTTTTCTTTCTCTTTCTTTTTCTTTTCCTTTTTCTTTCTCTTTCTTTTTCATTCTCTTTTTCGTTCTTTTTCTTCCTCTTTCTTTTTCTTTCTCTTTCTTTTTCTTTTCGTTTTTCTTCACTTTCCTTTTCTTTCTCTTTCTTTTTCTTTCAATTTACTTTCTTTCCTTTCTTTGTTTTCTTTTCCAGTTTTTCTTTCTGTTTTTCCTGTAGTTTTTCTTTCATTTCACCCACAGACTCACGCATAGAAGGAGGTCCCAAATAACTTTTATAATCACACATATTTATGCACATAATGATATTGATACACACTGTTACTCTTATAAACAATATACACACGTATATACAACCAAATAAACACATAATGACATCGACACACACTTTTACTCTTACACACAATGTACACACGTATATACAACCAAATAAACAACTACTATATTTCAGATAGGCGAACTAATACGAATACACATAAAACCGTAAACAATGGCGTACATACAGGTATCTCTAATAACGACACTTATTTTCATGAAGTAACTCTTTAAGAGATGACATGTTGAAGAAAATATTAATAACAGTTGAAAAAGTAATTTGGTTCAGCAGACGGTGGATAGCGGCTCGGATTGAGAAATCGGTGAGCAGAGTTCGAATTCAAGTCGAATCCATTACATTCACTTACGTGCTAATACCCTTGGGAAAGGTATGAATCCTCTTCTCCTCCCTCCCCCAGCTATGGGTAAATAGCAGGACAGACTAGGTTCGATGGCAACTGGTCTACCGCAGAAAGAAATAGCAACCTACTGCGGGAAAAAATCTGCCTCGTCAGTCATGTATCGAAAGATACATGATCGCCTAAGCGTGTATCACGCATGGCACGCACATAACTAAGTGAATTTCTTCCTTTATTATTTATGTCTCAAATGTTTATTTTTGGACACAGCAATAATAAAAAATGTTTTCATATATTTAATGATAATTTTATATTTTCATTAGTTTTATTCTTTTCTTAATTATTGATTCGTTTTTTTTAATTGTCATTCAAGTAATGATAAGACAAAAGTGGTACATTTGATAACAAACTGTTCTCTTCGATATCCAGTGTAAAATATATAAGTCCCTTGTCATTGTAGAGGGCTTACTTGTCCCAGTGATCCCAAGAGCAGTAAGGTGAAAGAGGAAGGACCAAACTGAACGCGACCAAACATCCGCTGAACTCCAACGGCGGAATAGTCAAAGACCGACATTATCTCAACGGCTAAACTGTCGGAAGAGGGCAGCGCTAGTCCGACAGGCGTAACCAAAGCAGACCTTGATAGATCAAGCATCCGACAGCCCCGTTGCAACCAGGTTTGCCAGATCTCGCCTGTGTCTCGATCCCCCTTGAACCGAGTTTGTAGGCTTCTCCGTCGCGTAGAGTTGTCCACTAGAATTAAATCCACGCGAATAGCCTCGTCAAACTCTCTTTGATTCACAGACATCTCCACCACCATTACCAGAGAGAGAGGATGATGATTACGATGTTCGGAAAATTATAGTGAAAATATTGACTTTTAACCTAATTGTTCACAGAATAGCAAAGTTAAGGATCTTACAATTAGTATTTCATTGTGAAAACTTTATGGTGATTTTCTAAGCATAGCTTAGAGTTGGCACAAGGTCAAAATTATGGAGCCCCTTAATCGTGATTGTTCTAGCGAAACAAACTTGCTAACCATTACACTACGTCGAGGTGCCCACTTTAAAAAACTTTATGTACACAATTCTCTACAACAATAAAAAAAACAATTGATATTATGAGTAGCACTATCATTATTTTGTTTTATTTTTCTTCAGATGAGTCGTTGTAAAGCATTATTGTTGAGACTACCAGTGTAAATCCAAGCAAACATGGCGCCTAGACAGGTTGCAGAATGGAGTGATGGGTTATAAGTTAGATTTAGGACGTCTGAAAAGTCATCAAGTTCTTATAGCTTAGAGCAATGGTGCATTTAACCAGATTTTATTGAGGTAAAATAGATGTGAATTCGAGAGCTTATCATTTACATCCGATCCTGCGCAGTGTGTTCGTAGATTAACGGCACGAGTAAATTTTTGATAAAAATTGAAATGAATAATAATAATAATAATAATAATAATCAGACAGGGAAATAAAAGCCAACAGACCTGATATTATCATAAAAAACAAGAAATTTAGGAAGTGTATGCTTATTAACATAACAGTAGCATCTGCGCGAAACACCTCCGTGAAAATGATCGATAAATTGTCCAAAATACAAGGACCTGGAGAGCGACATTAACAGGATGTGGGGAATGAAGACTGAGACTGTACTAATAGTAATCGGAGCTCTGGGCCTCATGAGAAAAGAAATGGCCAGTTTTACTAAAAGTGTCCCAGGTAACCTCAACATGCAAGTTGCTCAGAAGATCGCCCTACTAGGAACATCCCAGATACTAAAAAAGTGCTATCAATTAAATAACAATTCTCCTATAGGGCTATAGTTTGGACCCAGCTCTATAGGATACAAACATAACATACACAAATAATAGTAATCTTCCTCCTCCTCATCCTTCTACTACTACTAATAATAATAATTTGCAAAAGCCTAACAAACCATAAAACAAAATTACATTATGAAAAAATAACATTTATAGATAAAAATTCAACGTAAATTTCCTGAAAGTTATTTAAGACTATCAGATTTTCCAAGCCATCTTTCTTTATCACGTGCCCCATAAATTTCAACTGCCACTTCCTGGTGTTAAGTATAAGTTTCCTTTTCACTTCCATTTTCGAATGTAATTATGGTATATTATTTCTTCAAGAAATGTTTTCCTTCAACAAATAACATCTATACGCAGTTGGAATGCTTTCATGTGGTGGATGCAGTTCTGTGACGGATCAGTTTTAATTCAAAGTTGCATACTAAAAGGAAGCAAAACATCGGGAAAGTCCTTTTCACAGATTCTATAAGTTTAACTGAGCGATCAGCATAAATGGCATGTTAGGAACTGATGACATCGAGAAACTCATTGATGAATAGAAGAAACATCGGGGGTCCAAATGTAGGGCCCTGGGAGACACCCACATTAATGTATAAGGATCTTCATTACATGATTTTTTAAAAGATTGCATTAATTGAATTTGTGGAGAAAGCCTGCATTCCAAAAGCCTATCAAACGCCTTCGAGATATCTAAAGCCACAATCCGATCCCCGCCGTTCTTATCTAAAGCCACAATCCGATCCCCGCCGTTCTTATCTAAAGCCACAATCCGATCCCCGCCATTCTTATCTAAAGCCACAATCCGATCCCCGCCATTCTTATCTAAAGCCACAATCCTATCCCCGCCATTCTTATCTAAAGCCACAATCCAATCCCCGCCATTCTTATCTAAAGCCACAACCCGATCCCCGCCATTCTTATCTAAAGCCACAATCCGATCCCCGCCATTCTTATCTAAAGCCACAATCCGATCCCCGCCATTCTTATCTAAAGCCACAATCCGATCCCCGCCATTCTTATCTAAAGTCACAATCCGATCCCCGCTATTCTTATCTAAAGCCACAATCCGATCCTTGCCGTTCTTATCTAAAGCTTGATAGAAAAAATTAGTAAAAACATTTAAACATGGGTAGTTGACCTAATGACTAAATCATTAATAGATCGGTGGATAGAAATCATGTTTTGGAAGAATGTAAGAGGCACTCTGCACACAGTAGATAGGTATTTCTACTAGTTTCGGAGTGAACTGTGTCAGCTCTGATTAGTTACTCTGTTGTTATTGCAGAGTCTCAGGAACAATTTTTACACTCGGGGCCCAAGTTAAATTTGATCACATTTTCTTGCTATGATTGTTCATAGGAAATATAGTGAAGTGATTTCCGACCGGATAATTCATAATTGCTTACCGACCAAAAGATTCAAGTCTACCCATTTAATTTACCGAATCTTCGTGCCCTTTTCAAGGATAATAGTACTTGCCCCGCCTCTCGCCTATAAGAGCTACTCTTACTGTACATCCTGGAGGCAGTTACGAATAATTGTAAAGTAAAGCAGAAATATATATATATATATATATATATATATATATATATATATATATATATATATATATATAAAAGGCAGGATGTGTGTGTGTAACGAATGCACGGCTGCAATTTTCGACGGATTTGTACCAAAATTTACATGCACATGCTCCAAGTTAGCGAGAAGGCCAAGACCGACCTTGCATTTCCCAACTCTCATCGATAGTAGAAATAATCGATTTTTTCATGCTTTACAGCAGTTTTCATGTATTTTGCGGCCATTTTCTACTGGTGAGAGTGAGAGCCTATAGTTGGCTGCCACGAACAGGCAGGAAGATTCTATTGGCCAGCGTGAGAGCCAACAGCTGACTGACACGAATATTAACTAGCATGCTAGCATGCAAAAAAAAAATCGATAGCTGCATTCATCACAAGTGGGAAAAAATTTAAATCTGCATGGCACTTTACTCCAATTGGCTCATTTGCTTGCTTAAACTCAACGTTGATTCTGGTTCCACAGAACTGGGATTGGGCGTGAAAAAGTATTTGTTGTTAACATTCTTTTTTCATTCGGTTTTTCCAGTTACGAGTCCTTTTTTAAAGCTGATCGTTTTGTGTTCATTTTGTTTAGTTCTTTTTTCGCAACAGATTTAATGTTTAGTATAGAGCTTCAAAAAAATTCGCAGTGTGAGATAGGCAAGAAGTAAGGCATGTAGCAACATCAGCACGGCAAAGGGCACTCCTTTAAAAAGGCATGGAAGGGCAAAAATATTTTTAAGTCAAGTGATAGCGATTGCTGTATGAGTCGTATGATTTTTTAATCAAGCACGGGCAACGCCGGGTCATGCTTCTATATATATATATATATATATATATATATATATATATATATATATATATATCAAAATGATCAACAATACATTTTATTCATAACTGAAGGCATACAATTGTGTTCAAAATATATTTACTTGAAGCTATAAAATTGTGTTCAAAAAGTTTTAGATTTCGTCATTAAATATCCCATAGAGGTGTTGATATGCCGCTAAACAAAATCAACTAACCAGTGTCCGTCATCATTGAGAATGTCGCGAATAAAACAGGGAAACAAAAAAAATATTGTTGCAAACATTTGTAAATTCCCATCAATGCCTGTGTGATTCATTCACAGGAAATCAGTGAATTCAGAAAGAATTTGAAAGTTTCTTTACAGAATAAACCAGAAGATGGAATAAAAGCGTATCTCTAAGTATCTTGCTTTCTTGTCGCAATCTCATCCTCAGACCAGAATGAAATGAATCAAGTGTGTCAAAGGTATTATGGATTAAGTGAGCTCAATGCAGATGGAAAAATATTTGAACTACTTCTGCGACTAAAATGTTTGTGTCTATATGCCCAGCTCGAATCAAATAGATTAATATACGATTGTTAGATCAACTCCATCGAAGCGCTGACGATGACGCAAGCTTATTCAGTTATGATTTTGAATCGAGGCTGGGTAAATATAAAATTCTCCTGATTCTGCAGTGACGTTGCAAGAATTAAGATGGATTCATTTTGTATCGACTTAACATCGTTCTTCCACGAAAAGCATTTCATCCCTATTTTCCCATGTCTTGTCGTGCGAGAAGGTTTTCAGGAAGGGGGCTTTTAAAACACTTCAATTAGGTTGAATTCGAAAAGGTGTCGGAATTTTACAAGTAATATTTTTTTTCACACGGGGAATATTTAAGAAAACGAAAAATCACGCATCTACAAAAGCATTTTATGAAAAAGAGAAATCAATAAAATATTAAAATTTTCTTTTTAATTTGGACAGAACTTACACTCCAAAATGGAGGTCCTTAATTCTTTTTAACCCTTCAACCTTGTTCATGGGATCCCTGATCGTTCATCAACATCTAAATATGTACAAAAATATCAATATTTTTTCTTAAGTATAAAAACTTCTTAGTCTTTTTCCTTCATTATTGTTTCATGACAAGATTAATTTTAGCTTTATGTTTCAGTAATCTTTTTACAGTTTCTATTTTTCTGGACGTGTTTGTTCGAATAATAATAATAATAACAACATCTACACAAATAATATAGCTGATAATAAACACATTAAAATAAATTAATATAGCTTGTCATAACAAGCTATATTAATTTATCAAAGTTAGAATGCATGTCTCTGTTGAGAGTTGCATAATTAAAATAAAAATAGTTCCAACGAATGATTGCAAAGAAACTAGAAACGCTTGCGAATTCAAATCAAAGAAAATGTTTCTTTGCACCGTTTTACTCAAATTAAAGGAGTGAACAAGACAAGCAACAGCTAGTCGAAATATTTCCATGGAATAAATCATTCGTTGGAAATTTCTTTGAATTATATTTATTTTAATTGTTTGAAATTATTAACTGGAAGGATGTATTTGATGAGCAATTGTAATGTCATTGATGTTTGGTTGGAACTTGGTGAGTGTAAGTAATATATAAGTTACAACGTTTTATTTATTAACACCTTTGACCTCCAGGTATTTATCGATTGTCCTAAATAGCCCCATCGACACTTAAAAGTCGTTGTCAACCACTTTGGTGACCCCTGTTCTAAAATATGAAGAACTGTGATGTATATTATTAAAGGAACACGACAATGCCTTTCTTGTTCAGTGGTGTTAAGAAAGCAGCTGTGTAATTACGTGAAAAATGTATAAAGATAAACGATAATAGCCGCACACATCAGGAAATGCTTCATCATATTTTAATGAAAAAATTATATCCTCAAACCAAGGCAATGATTAGCAATACAGAATTGCAACCAAGTTATAATTAATTTGTTCCTATTTTTATCTAGCTAAGCTGATGAGAAAATTGTTTTACCACACACACACACACACACACACACACACACATATATATATATATATATATATATATATATATATATATATATATATATAACCATAAGGATTCCTAATTTTGAAAGATATACCCATCGGTTCAATGAAATTAGATATTTACTCCTAAATGGCAAACTGACTAAATATTTTTGAGACTTGGCCAAGATTGACGGAGAAGCGTGTAAGGATGAAATCAAGTGGCGAACACTGTTGTAATTAGATTGCAAATCATTTTTCTATGGCTGGTCCTCGGGTCGTAATGCTACATGCATATATAATTATGATGGCCCTGATAAGGCTCCAAAACAAAACGGCTTTCATTTAATTATCAGAGAGAACCTTTCCTACGTACCGTCAATATGGCTGATGCTAAACTTCAAGAGGGTAACACTTTCCACTTCTTGGGCTCACTTTTTCAAATGACATGAATTGGATTGATTATATTAAATTAGTTGTTAGGTCGGCTGTGTTGGACCAGATAATTCTTCTTTTCAGAATCCCTTTTGCGCATTTATAAATCTACTATTTGTCCGTATATTGAATATTACTACCTGGCCTGATGATCCTGCTCTAAATCTCCATATATTTGACAGAATAAAAAGAAGGGTCTGTAATCGATCCTGACTTGGCAACTGGACTTCAGTCACTTTTTCATCGACGTAATGTGGTTTCCCTCTGTTTTTTTTTCTACAAATATTTTCATGGCAATCGTTCTGATGACCTGCTGTCCTTAGTGCCTTAACCGCATGAATTTAAGCATGCTACTCGATTGGCAAATAGATCTCACCGTTTTACTGTTGAAATAGCTAAATACAACCGTATGCTCTATACTTATAGTTCCTTTTCTCGTCCTTCTCGCCTGGGCAACTCCCGATATTTTGCTTCTCTGATAACTACAATCTTAATAAATTTAAATGCAACGTCAATCGCCATTTTCTCTCTTCCTGAACCCTGTTCTTTTATTGTCCTTTATCTTCATTTCTTCACACTAACGTCTTCTCACGTTCTGAAACCTCCCTGTGTCTTTGTGGCATTATCACCGGGGTGAAATGATTAAACAAAAGAAAGTTATTTTTCATTAGAGATGGCAATACAGAACCGAAAACATAGAACATATGAATAATTTGAAATATTTTCGATTGGTTTACTCATGGATACCATAAAGATCCAATAATCTTATTATTAAACTTAAACTTTATTTCGAGTGCCACAGTTTAGAACGGAAAAAAATAAACAAAAAGTATTACTTGTATATAGCATTTCACTTTATTTATTTTTTTGAATGAATTTTGATCAAGACAGAAGGAACAAAACGCGTCACACGAAAACTTTTCCACTTTATCGTAGTTTTTTTCCCGATATATATTTAAAATGGCTAAGCTCATGGAAGCATTAATACTAAAAAAAAGAGAAAAAGCCAACACTCAATAACATCACCTATGAACACGGTCATGTGTTGACCGTGTTTGGAAAAACATTCCCATAATTCTAGAACATAAATGAAAATCTAGATATTCAGCTAAAAATAGACAAAAACATCCTTGATAGCGGCTAAAAGGATAGCCGAAAGCGCTCGGATATACAGAACATTCAGACAATTTTTACACACTTCATGCCCCGAAAAGAAAAACACTTGTATGCACACAAGAAATATTGAATAAAAAGCTTAACTGCAATACCTTGTCCATGGCCTTTAATGAAGCTTCCA